CGGGCCTAGACCCTTCTTCAGAAATGGGGTCTAGGCCCGAAACGTCAGCCTTCCTGCTCCTCTGATGCTGCTTGGCCTGCTGTGTTCATCCAGCTCTACACCTTGTTAACTCACTGATATATCTCACTGAGAACCCAGTCACCACATTGATATATCTTACTGAAAACACATGGATACATCATGCTGTTAACCCAGTCAACTCACTGTAATGTCACACTGTGAACACATTCAACTCATTGACATATCTACTGTGAACCCAGTCAACTCATTGACGCATCTCACTGTGAACCCAGTCAACCCACTGTAATTAAGAATTACTGTAATTAATCATTCTAATTTCTTCTTGAATAAGTCACTTTTTAAGATGGCACGGTGGCACAGTGATTAGCACTGCTGCCTCATAGTGCCAGGGACCTGGGTTCAATTCCGGCCTCAGGCAACTGTCCGTGTGGAGTTTGCACATTCTACCGCGTCTGCATGGGCTTCCTCCGGGTGCTCCGGTTTCCTCCCACAGTCCAAAGACGTGCAGGGTAGGTGAATTAGCTGTGCTAAATTGTCCATCATGTCTAGGGTGGGAAATGCAGGGATAGGGTTGGGAATGGTTCTGGGTGGGAAGCTCTTTGCGGGGTTGATATGGACTTGATGGGCCAGATGGGCTGCTTCCACTCTGTAGGGATTTCAAGATTTTGATACCACCCAAGTAGATTGTTGGACAACCCCAGTGGGCAGGCACCAATGTTAGGTCAAGCTGACAGATGCACTGATGTCAAAGAGCAAGGGGAACCAGAATCTTACCTCTTGTTCATAAATATCCAGAATTCTTTCTAGTGAGAGCTCCTCAAAGTAAAGCCTGTCACATTCATCAAAGTCTGTGCTCACAGTCTCTGGGTTGTGGTTTACTACCACAGTCTTCTTCCCAAGCTGTCGGAGGGTCCGGATACTGGAGACAGCACACCAATCAAATTCCACACTGCTACCTGCAGACACAAAATCCTGTTCTAAAATACCAGTGACTGCATGTGGGGTACAGAGAACTGCAGTAAGTACTTGGTCCATTTAATGCTACGATACACATGTACCAGGAAAGTGAGTCTGGAAATAGAACAAGATAATCCATTGTTTCAACAGGCTGGCCTATGAGTGTTTCATACAGAATCTCACTGTCCTTTTTCAAAAATTTCACCTAGCCCTTTCTGTTCTGACAGTACGCTCTTGTAATTGTTGGTCTCCCAAAGCTGAAAATGCATAGTATAGAGGTACCTTTGCTGCTATAATACTCCTGATACAAGTATCAGCCTCTCTATCAGCTGCAGCCAAGCACAGAAAGAACTGACTATTTGCATTTATACAACCAGCATCCAACCGGAAAGCACTACATGCACAATGAATTATTTTCAAGTAAAGCCATGTTAAATAGAACATAATCACAGACAAATTAGGAGGAGCAGCCTGTTTCACTGTTTATTCAAACCATGCCTATTCTGGTTGAGGTGTGATTCCTCCACCTTTTTGTCTGCCTACCTGCCCATAAATCCTCAAATCGGTTAAGGAAAATCTGTCAAACTCAGCCCTGAATTTATTCAATGACCCAGTCTCTACTGCTCACTGAGGAAGACTAACAGTAGGCTAACAGGGTGGTAATTAATTGGCCAGGTTGGATTTTCTTGCTTTTTGCGAACAGGACATATCTGGGCAATTTGTTCGGTAGATGTCAGTGACGTAGCTGTGGTGGAATAGCTTAGTTAGGGGTGCAGCATGTTGTAGAGCACAAGTTTTCCGTCCTATTGAAGGAATGTTATCAGGGTTCATAGCCCTTGGAACATCCAGTACATCCAACAATTTCTTGATGTCACGTGGAGTGAACTGAATTGGCTGAACACAGGTACCTGTGATAACAGAGACCATCTGAGGAAGCCAACATGGAGCATCCACTTGGCACTTCTGGCTGACGATTGTTGTGAATGCTTCAGTTTTGTCCATTGCCCTGATGAGCTGGGCTCTCCCATTATTGAGGAAAGGGATATTTGTGAAGCCTCCTCCTCCAATGAGTTACTTAATTGTTCACCACCATTCACGACTGGATGCAGCAGGACTGCACAGCTTAGATCGGACCATCTGGTTGTGTTCTGTACTTACTGCTTATGTTGTTTGGCATGTAAGTAGTCCTGTTTGGTAGCTTCACCTGGTTGACACCTTATTTTTAGGTATGCCTGATGCTGCTCCTGGCAAACCTTCTTGCACTTATCATTGAAGCGGGATTGATCACCTAGTTTGATAGAAATGGTTGAGTGGGGGATATGCCAGGCCATGAGGTTACAGATTGTGCTGGAGTAAATTCTGCTGCTGTTAATGGCCCAGAGCACCTCATGGAAGCCCAATCTTGAGTTGTTAGACCTGTTCAAAGTCTGTCCCATTTAACAGTCTCAATGTGAAGATAAGACTTTGTCTCTGAAAGGACTGTGCAGTGGTCACTCTCACCGATACTGTCATGGGCAGATGCATCTGCAGCAGGCAGATTGTTGAGAATGAGGTCAATTGTGTTTTTCCATCTTGTTGATTCCCTCACCCCCTACTACAGGCCTAGTTTAGCAGCTATGTCCTTCAGGACCCAACCAGCTTGATCAGTAGTGTTCCTATTGAGCCACTCTTGGTGATGGACGTTGAAATCCTGCACCCAGAGTACATTCAGTGCCCTTGTCATCCTCAATGTTTCCTCCAACTGTTGTTCAACAGAGGAATACTGATCTATCAGCCAAGGGAGGACAGTACATGATAATCAGCAGACTTCCTGGCCCATATCTGACCCGGTGCCATGAAACTTCATGGGGTTCAGAATCAATGTTGAGGGTTCCTACGGCAACTCCCTCCCGACTGTATACCACTGCACCACCACCTCTGCTGGGTCTGTCCATCTGGTGGGACAGGACATATACTGGGACAGTGATAGTGGTGTCCGGGACATTGTCTGTAAGGTATGATGCGATGAGAATGACTATGTCATGCAGTCGTTTGGCTAGTTATGAAGTCATAGAGATAAAACTTAGAAAAAGGCTTTTTGGTGCATTGCATCTGCATCAGTTAAAAACAACTACCAAACTATGCTAATCCCATTTTCCAGCACTTGGCCCATAGCCTTGGCATTGTAAGTGTACACCTAAATACTTCTTCAATGTTACGAGGGTTTCTGCCTCTACCACTCTTACATACAGTGAGTTCCAGATTCCCACCACCCTCTGGATGGAAAAGCTTTTCTTCACATCTGCTAAACTTCCGGCCCTTTACCTTAAATCTATGCCCCCAGTCACTGATCCTCCATTAAGGGGAAAGGATTCTATGCCCCTCATCATTTTATATTAATCTTGGTCATGTCCTCTCTCAATCTCCTCTGCCGTAAGGGAAATACCACTAGTCTGCCTAACCTCTCTTCATAATTGAAACTCCAACCCAGGCAACATCCTGGCAAGTCTCCTCTAACCCTCTCCAGTGCCACCAAATCCCTCCTATAATGTGAATTATAAAACTGTACATAATTTTCTAATAGTGGCTTAGCCAATGTTTTATACAGTTTCAGCATAACTTCTCTGCTCTTCAATTCCACACCTCTGCTTATAAAGGCAGTAACCACTTTATATTTTGTCCTGATCTTTTAAGAGACCAGTATACATGCACACTAAAGATCCCTTTGATCATCAGCGCTTCCCAGGATCCTACCACTCATTCTATCCTTGCTTTATTTGCCCTGCCAAGAACCTCACATTTATCTGCATTGAATTCCATTTCCTACTGATCACCCCATCTGACCAGGCCATCTATATTCTGCTGCAATCTAAGGTTTTCTTCCTCATTATTTACCACCCCACCAATTTTTGTAACATCTGTGAACTTACTGATCAGCCTTCCTAATTCTAAATCTAAGTCACTTATACAAACCACGAGCAGAAACTGTGCCAACACTGACCCCTGTGGGATTCCACTGGACACATATTTCCAGTTAAAAAAACATCCTTCAACCATTACTCTGTTTCCTGCCACTCAGCCAATTGTGGATCCAATTTGTCAATTTTCCTTGCATTCCCCAGAGTCTTACCTTTGCAAAAGTAGTCTTCCATGCAGGACCTTAACAAAAGCCTTGCTTTTGTGGATTACATCAAAAGCATTGATCATATCTACACACCTCTGAAAATTCAATCAAGTTGGTCAGACTTGATCTCCCCTTAACAAAACCATGCTGACTGTTCTTGATTAATCCCTGCCTCTCCAAACGCAGATTTATTTTGTCCTTCTGAGTTGCTTCCAATAATCTCCCCACTTACTGAGGTTAGACTGACTGGCCTGTAGTTTTCTGGTTTATCCCTTGCTCTCTTCTTGAATAATAGTGCCACATTGGCTGTCCTCCAGTACCTCTCTTGCAGCCAGACAGGAACTGAAAATTATAGGTAGCACCCCTGCTCTTTCCTTCCTTGCCACACGCAACAACCTGGGATAGATTTCATCTGCCCTTGGAAATTTATCTACCTTTAAGTCTGCAAGACCAGTCAGAACCTCCTCTCTATCTGTGCTAACTTTTTTAATTGTATCACAGACCTTTTTCCTGATTTCTATACCCATACTGTCCCTCTCACTAGAGAATACAAACATAAAGTATTCATTTATAACACTGCCTATATCCTCTGCCTCCATGTACAAATTACCATTTTGGTCCTTACTCTCTCTCACATTACCCTTTTACCCTCAATGCACTTGCAAAACAACTTTCGTTTATTTTACCTGCCAATACCCTTTCATAAACCCTTTTAGCTTTCCTAATCACACTCTTAAGTTCTCCCCTCCCTCAGGAACAGCATTAGAGACCATGACACCGGACCATGCCAGCCTGGTCCAAGGATGCCACCGAGTCAGTGTAGTTTCAGCCATCTGTAGAAAGAATATTAATGACCTTCTGTGCTCTGCCATGTTCAGTGCCACTGTCATTTCTCTGATACATCACACTCAGTCCATCTCTGCTACTTTTCCCACCTTTCTCCAAGTCTCAAGCTTTACGACTCTCATGATTGCCTGCAATATCTTCCCCACTCGCTCTCACCTACCCAACCTCCGACCCCACTATCCCTTGCATGCCCTCTGTGCTGCCTACTCACTCATTTGGAATACCACTCCATCTGCATCTACAGTAATTGCTGTACCATCCATTTTTAACTCTTCTAATACCTGACTCCCACTCATTCTAGAAGGCAAACTGCTCCCAATGGAGTTGAAACAGTGAAGATGGATGGTGGGCTGCCTGGCATTCTACTCCTCACCCCTTCTGTTGAGAGGATCTTGAGTCTGACCACCCTGAGCAGGGCCTGGACAGAGACTGGATGTTGCCCTACACTTACTGTGCTGGGAACCCTGAGTGAAGGTTAATCGCTTAACTTGACAAGCTTCCTGGTTTTGTGCTGAACAGCAAGGCAAGGCAGCAGTATTGGGAGTCTGGTACCTCTGCCTGAGGAGGCAAAGCACAAAAAAGCAAGAGAAGGTTTGGTAAGATGGGAGGCTGAATATTAATAAGGTGAGTTTGGCTGTTAACAGGGTGTTTAACAAGCAGTAATCCCCTTAAACATCACCTTGCTGCTGCCTTGTGAGAATCTTGCCATGCTGTGTTTGCAAAGTGTACAAGATGGAGTGAGGCAATCTTGATGATGAAAACGGACTTACTGGACTCCCTGTCTAATTCTGCCACACATCCCACCACAGCCCATGTCAGTCAGACCCTCATTAGATTCTGCCCATAACATCTTAAAAGTATTTACCAATATGATAAGGTCCACATCCCAGCACCATGATTCCGTGGTCATTGAAATCCAGGTCATGCTCCTGAAACAGAAACATCCTTTGTCTATTTTTAATCCAAATAGATAGCAGAAATCAGTAAAGACTGGCCCTAATGAGGCTCACCTCTCCATGGTACGTGGAGTAGAGGTAATTGGTGATTGCTGGGTATTCTGCAGCTAGGGTGTCAATCTAAAAAGACAAGAAGCAGACTCAAATGAATGGCAAAGCAGGTAGCTCAGTTGAGTTTAGATCAATGCTTTAGTTGCCTGCACTCATCAAGGAGAACGTTCCCCATTCCACAATTGTCACTCAATCTTTAGATTTTTCCTCATTTATCCCTCATCAGCTCTTTCACCACTTTTGTATCTATGCTGTCTGTGAAAGAAATTATCTTACATACCCATGAAAACTCTGTTTCCCCAAGATTCTCACTCCAGGTTCATGAGTTAATCCTCGATGACTTTTGGACTTTGGCTGATCTTTTTTGGGCTGAGGGCTCCATCTACAGACGAAATGAGGGATACTGTGTCTAATATATCCCTGAGCCTGGATCAGCCTGGCACTGAATTTTCATCACGTTTCTGCACAAATCAGGATTCAGGGAGGGGATACCACCATCCAGGGTTTGTCGCTATCCCAAAGGTAACCTCATAGCGTTTTACAGCAAAGGCGGTCATTGAGTTCATTCTGCCTGTGCTAGCTCTCTGGCAAGAGTCCAATCTTTCGCACTTTCCAGCATAACTTGGCAAACAGAGCTTCTCATACTAAAAAGCTCCTCACGCGGGTTGATAAAGTAGAGTGTCGCTGTTAAGACGGCAAATCCATTGGCAATTTCAATCCAGCAAAATGTACACTCACAGGAGATGGAAACAGAGTGACTGACCTGAATGCACACTGACCTCTGAATACAGACTCACAGGCATCTGAAACACAGTGACTAACCTGTTTAATCTGTGGCTTAATGTTCCTCTGTACCCTCAGCTTCCTTGCATCGAGTTCAGTCAGGCCGATACAGTCTCCAATCTGTCTGTCAGAGAAGCCATCTTGCTTGGCTTTCAACAGCAACTCGTCAGGGATGGTTTCACTGATGGAGGAGATCATAGCTGTTAAAGCTCATTTAGAGGGAGGAGTTCAAGCAGAGACTCACAACCCACAGGAACATTGCCTAGGTGAGGTCTCAGTGCCAAGCAGTTTGGTATAGGTCCAGTAGGAAACAGACTTTCCCAGCCTAGGTATAATGGCAACTATCAGGAAGACCTAGTGGAAGCTTTCTTCCTGCATCCGGTCATGTAGTACTGGCAATAAAGCATTAAACAGGCCTATTGGTAAGTAATGCAGGACTGTTTGTGGATTAAAACCCTGGGCCAGATAATCACAAACACTGGGCCTTTGGCTCATCAAGCAGCATCAATTCAGAATCTGGCACCACGTCATCAGCCTGAAAGTTCAAACAATGGGAAAGGTTGATGTTCAAAGGGATCTTTTACTCCAGTCACTGAGAGCAAGGATACATGTGCAGCAAGCAGTTGGAAAGACGAATGTTACATTGGTCTTGATTTTCAGAGGATTTCAGTTCAACAGCAAGTAAGTCTCACTGGTATGCTAAACCAGTAATATAAGCACTGTGAACCCATCATCTTTCCCTGCACCATCTCAAATTAAAAATAAGTGGTGTTTGACTTGATGAGCTGTGCTCATTATGAGCTCTGTAGCTGGCATATGCCTGTGCTTGGAGGTCAGGTCAAGGCACGATCGAGACGGATCCATGTGGGGTTTCTGTGGCTGCGATAACCTGATTGGACTGTGCTGATAGGAGAAGCCATAAACATGGTGGCTCAGTGGTTAGCCCTGCTGCCTCACAGCACCAGAGACCTAGGTTCGATTCCACCCTCAGGCAACTGTATGTGTGCAGTCTGTAGACTGGTTGACTCTTAACTGCTGTCTGGGCACTTAGGATTGGGCAATAAATGCTGGCCTAGCCAATGACACCCTTGACCTGTGAATTAATTTAAAAAATGATCTGGAAGCATCTGTGAGAAGAAAGCACAGTCAACATTTTGAGTCCATTGGCTTTTCATTGTACTGGGAGCAAGTTGATGGACAGTAACGGATTCCATTTGATTTGCCTTCTTTTCATTAGTCAGAGGATAATGCGGTAATGTTTTATTTTTCCAACATTTCTTCGCTTGCTTTCCTATTTTCAGTCACCCATATTTTGTCATCTGTCAGAATGGATTCATGGGATGAGAGCATCACTGGCTAGGCCAGCATTTATTGCCTATCCCTAATTGCCCAGAGGACAGTTAAGAGTGTACAACATTGTCGTGGGTTTCGAGTCATATATTGGCCAGATGAGGTAAGGATGGCAGTTAACAAAAACAGAAGTTGCTGGAAAAGCTCAGCAGATCTGGCAGCATCTGTGAAGAAAAGAATCAGAGTTAACATTGCAGGTCCGGTGAACTTGCCTCAGAACTCAGGATGGCAGTTTCCTTCTCTAGTGGATATTAGTGAACCAGACTGGTTTTTCAAGACTCTTAATTCCAAATTTTTATTGAATTCAAATTCCACCATCTGCCACAGCAGGATTCAAAGCCGGGTCGCCAAAACTCAGTCTGCGGATTAACAGTCCAGTGATGATACCATTAGGCCATCACGTCCCCTTCCAGACCATGAGGTTACAAATGGGATAGAACACAGTTCTGCTACCACTGACAGCCAGCTTTGAGTGACTACATTAAATTATTTGATTCACCAAGGTTCTAAAATGAAGCATGGTATCCTCAAGAGTAAAAACTTGACTCCAGGAGGGCTTAGGAGTGGTCACTCCTGCCTTTAACCACTGGAGACAGATGTATCATGGATTGCTAAGCTCAAGAAAGTTTCTCCTTCACATCAGTTCTCTCACCACCTGCCACAAGGTTAGTCTGGTCAGTAATCTTCTATCGTGTGATTTTATGCCACACGATGAGCTTGGGTTTGAGATAGACCGGTCAAGGGTAAGGTAAAGTCCAAGAACTGTGTTCAGGCTTGGGCTTCATAGCAACACTATCTATTATTCATTAATATTAAATACTGCTATACGTGGTAGTCAGAGATATATCAAGCTCAGATTAGTAACCACATTAGATAGGGCTAATCTATCTTCTTTGAGTGTTCATGTACATGTCCTCATGTCAGTCTATCATAGAATCTATGACAATCTAGTCTAGTTTGGTCCAGTGTAATGTAGTCTAGTCTGTTCTAACTCTGCCCACACGGTGCTATTTATGCTTTGTTACATCATTACTAGGGTCATGTTCCAGGATCCTGATACCCTTACACAACATTTATGTCCTTAAGGACTCATGCAGATTACTCAGTTGTCGTGCAACTGGGCCACTCTTGATGACTGGCATTTTGAAGGGAACTGGCACATAAATACTGCGGCTACGAGAGTAGGCTAGAGGCTAGGAATACTGTGGTGAATAAATAGCTGAGACCCCAGTCCTGGTCCCTTATTACAATCTATCAAGCTGAAAATGACCCATTTATGCCAATTCTTTTTCCTATGATTTCGTGAATCCTCTGTTCATGTTAATAAATCACCATCAATACCATGAGCTCTTGCAAAAACCTTTTATGCAGCACTTTATGGAAACCCATAATAAACTACATCTACTGGCTTCATTTTATCCATCCCCCTTGTTACATCCTCAAAGAATTCTGATAAATGTATTCCTTCTATAAAACCATGTTGATCTGCCTGGTTATAGTAAGCTACCACTTCCTTAACAATGGATTCTGACATCTTCCCAAGAACAGGGTCAGGCTAACCAACCTGCTTTCTATCTCTCTCTTTTCTGCTTTCCAATCCACAGGACCATTCCTGGATAAAAGGAAATTTGGGAGATAACAACCAACCCCATCACAAACCATAAGATGTAGGGGCAAAAGTAGGCTATTTGGCCATTGAGCTCCACTGTTAGCTGATCTGATAATCCTCATTCCACTCTCCTGCCTTTCCCTATAACCTTTGATCCTCTTATTGATTAAATCTCTGTCTGTCTCAGCCTTGAATACACTTAATGACCCTGCCTCAACAGTCCTCTGTGGTACAGAATTCCACAGATTCACTAGCCTCTGAGAGAAACGAAAATTTCTGCAGCCATTTCTTTTAAGGCCCAAAGGATGCACAGCATTCTGACTAATTTGTCTCCATTTAAACTTTTGTTTAAAGTTCTTCTCTCCTTCCTGCTTCTTGATTTCATATTCTTCTTGGGATGTTCCATGTCTCCTATGATGATCGTTACTATGATTATTAGCTCACAATGAGCTAAATGGCCTTGCCGTGTGCCTTAACTTTTATATGGTTCTACAGTGTAGATGGATACAAATGACTTGTACAAATTCTCTGCCATTTCCTTGTTTCTTATCATCAGTTCCCTAGTCTAATCCTCAAAGGGATCAAAGATCACTTTATGTACTCTTTTATGAATCAGAGTCATAGAGTCATACTGCACAGAAACAGGCCCTTTGGCCAACCAGTCCATGCTGACCATAATCCCAAACTAAACTAGTCCCACCTGCCTGCACCTGGCATATATCCCTCCAAACTTTTTTTCTTCATGGATTTATCCAAATGTCTTTTAAATGCTGTAACTCTACCCACATCCACCACTTCCTCTGGAAGTTCATTCCACGCAAGAACTGTGTAACTCTGTGTAAAGAATTGCCCTTCATGTCTATTTTATATCTTTATCCTCACACCTTAAAAATACGCCCCCTAGTCTTGAAATCCTCCACCATAGGGAAAAGACAACTGCCATTCGCCTTATCTATAATCCTCATGATTTAAAAACCTCTATAAGGTCGCTGCCTCAATCTCCTACACTCCAGTGAAAAATGTCCCAGACTATCCACCATCTACCTATAAGTCAAGCCTTCCATTCCTGGCAACATCCTGGTAAATATTTTCTGAATCCTCTCCAGCTTGATAACATCCTTCCTATTACAGGGTGACCAGAACTGGACACAGTACTCTACAAGAGGCCTCACCAATGTCCTTTCCAACCTCAGCTTTTGTTGTCCTGCATCCTCCATGCTAATTTTCTCTGTCATTCAACTTCCTACACTTTTTTTGACATGTTCCTGATCTTGTGGCCTACACTAATCTTCATAGCATTTAACACCTTTACGACAAGTTAGACAGAGGACAGCCAGTGGATTTTGATTTTCAGAAGGCCTTTGACAAGTTGCTAAATAAGATAAGAGCCATGGTGTTAGGGGCAAGGTTCTGCCATAGTTAGATGATTACTGACTGGTAGAAAGCAGAGGGATGAGGGGTCTTTTTCAGGTTGGCAGCTGGCAATTAGTGGAGTTTTTCAGGAGTCCATGTTGGGACCACAACTACTCACATTATGCATTAACGATCTGCATGCAGGAACTGAGGGCATTGTTGCAACGTTTCCTGATAACACAAAGAGTGGTGGAGAGACAAGTAGTGTTGAGGAAGCTGGCAGAAGGACTTGGCTAGGTGAGTGGGCAAAGAAGTGGCAGATGGAGTACAATGTGGGAAAGTGTGAGGTTATGCACTTTTGCAGGAACAGAGGCGTAGACTCTAAAAGGGGAAAGGCTTCAGAAATCTGAAGCTCAGAGGTATTTGGGAGTCCTAGTTCAGGATTCTCTGGATGTTAAAGTGCAGGTTCAATTGGCAGCTAGGAAGGAAATGCAATGTTGGCATTATTTCAAGAGGGCTAGAATAGAAGAGCAGAAGTGTACGACCGAGGCTGTATAAGGCTCTAGACAGATCACATTTGGAATACTGTGATCAGTTTCGGGCCTTGTATCTAAGGAAGGATTTTCTGGTGTTGGAGGGCATCCAGGGACGTCTACAAGAATGATCCTGCGGATGAAGGGCTTTCATAAGAGGAGTAGTTAAGGACTCAGGGCCTGAATCAATGGAGTTTAGAAGGATGACAGGGATGGAGGGGGGTATCTAATTGAAACTTACAGAATACTGAGCGGCCTGGATAGAGTGGGCATGGAGAAGATGTTTCCAATAGTAGGAGAGACTAGGACCTGAGAGCTCAGTCTCAAAGAATGACTCTTTAGAACTGAGATCAGGATGAATTTCCTTTAGAGAGTGGCGAATTTGTGGAACTCATTGCTGCATAAGGCTGTGGAAGCCAAGTCATGAATGCATTTAAGACAGACATAGATAGGTTCTTGATTGTTAAGGGAATCAAGGGTTATGAGGAGAAACATTTTAGCCATAACAAAAACAAAGTTGCTGGAGAAGCTCAGCACATCTGGCAGCATCTGTGAAGAAACAAACAGAGTTAACGTTTCCGGTCCAGTGACCCTTCCTCAGAACTCCTTCACAGATGCTGCCAAACCTGCTGAGCTTCTCCAGCAAATTTGTTTTTGTTCCTGATTTACAGCATCCACAGTTCTTTTGGTTTTTATTTAACATTTTAGCCATGATTGAATGGTGGAGCAGACTCTGAGTCAAATGGCCTAATTCTGCTTCTATGCTGCTTATGGTCTTTTCTTAAACATGCTCCAACCTTAACTTCCTCAGTAAGCTGCAGATGGCACACTTTCCCCACACGGTCTTTTGTTCTCAATGAAATTACTTACCATGAGTGCCTCATAACAATCTAGATCAGTGGGACGCAAGGGCAAAGCTGTTAATTTGTGGGAGAGAACGAATAAAGCCGGTGATGGATGAACACAGAAACTGGGGTGCGCAGAGAAAGATCACAAGAGTACCCATGTTTTGCCTGAGATTCACAGGTAAGTAAGCAGGATCCTAAGGCCTTTGGAAGGTTCCCAAATAGCTTTCAGAATGGTTGTGAGACAATGCTTAAACTTTTCACACAGGTTTTCTCATCATCGCTCTCTTGGCCCTTCCCACCAGCTCAGTGCACACAGCTGCATGTTTCAATCATTACGGACAATTACCTGTTGTGCTTGGTTAATTCTTTCTCCAGCATCACTATTTGCTTGAGTCTGTACAAGAACCATTTGTCAATAGCAGTCAGGTCATAAATTTCATCCACTGAGATCCCACTGTGTAAGGCCTGCAGGAGAAGGAGCATCAGCAACAGCCAGTGAAAAACTCCTGGGAGGTCCACACAGAAAATACTGCACAAACCAACTCTATCCCAAAGGAATCGAATGAGGCTTCTTGCAGGTAAGTCTATATTTGGAAAGTAGGAATCTTTTAAATGTAGTATAGTGAGAATTCAGGGCCAGCCTGCTCCTGTAAGAGTGAAGGGCAAGGTCAGTAAGTAGTGGATGTCAGTGGTTATCATGAGTTTGATAAAGAAGTAGAAAGAAATGGAAGCATATGTCAGGTACAGCACATTAAAAACAGGGGAGGCCCTTCAAAATTATAGAGTGTGTAGGAGGTTGCTTATAAAAGAAATTAGGAAAGCAAAGAGAGGCCAAGAAATTTCTTTGGCAAATGGAATCAAGGAAAACCTCAAGGCTTTTTATAAACATACTAAGAGAACTCTGTGAGAAGCTAGAGAAGTGATTGCTGAGCTGTTTAGGGAGTTATTTGTATCATCGATAGTCACAGGTGAGCTGCCAGAAGATTGGCGGTTGACTAACATGGTGCCACTATTTAAGAAAGGTGGTAAGGAAAGACAGGGAACTATAGACTGGTAAGCCTGACATCAGTGGCAGGCAAGTTGTTGGTGGGGATCCTGAGGAACAGGATTTACATGTATTGGAAAGGCAAGGACTCATTAGGGATCGTCGATATGGCTCACTAACTTGCTTGAGTTTTTTTGAAGAAGTAACAAAAAGGATTGATAAAGGCAGAGAGGTGGATGTGATCTATATGGACTTCAGTAAGGTGCTCAACAAGGTTCCACATGGTAGACTAGTTAGCAAAGTGAGAACACATGGAATACAGGGAGAATTAGCCATTTGGATACAGAACTGTCTCAAAAGGTAGGAGGCAGAGGGTGGTCGCGGTGGCTTTTTCAGACTGGAGGCATATGACCAGCAGTGTGCCACAAGGATTGGTGCTGGGTCCACTGCTTTTTGTCATTCATATAAATGATTTGGATGTGAATATAGGTGGTATGGTTACTCAGTTTGCAGATGACACCAAAATTGGTTGTGTAGTGGACAGCAAAGAAGGTTATCTCAGAGTACAATGGGACCTTGATCAGATGGGCCAGTGGGCCGAGGAGTAGTAGATGAAGTTTAATTTAGGTAAATGGGAGGTGATGCATTTTGCTAAAGCAAACCAGGCAGGGCTCATAATTATTGTTAGAGCTCTGGGGAGTGTTGCTGAACAAAGAGACCTTAAAGTGCAGGTTCATAGTTCCATGGAAGTGGAGTCACAGGTAGACAGGATAGTGAAGAAGGGGTTTGGTATGCTTGACTTTGTTGGTCAGTACCTTGAGTATAGGAGTTGGGAGGTCATATTACAGCTGTACAGGACATTGGTTAGGCCACTTTTGGAATACTGCGTGCAATTCTGGTCTCCCCGCTACTCCGTTGTGAAATTGAAAGGGTTCAGAAAAGATTTGTGAGGATTTTGGCAAGGTTGGAGGGTTGATCTATAGGGAGACACTGAAATTGGCTGGGGCTATTTTCCCTGGAGTGTCAAGGATGAGGAGTGTCCTTATAGAGGTTTATAAAATCATGAGGGGCATGGAAAGGATGAATAGCCAAGGTCTTTTCCCCAGGGCAGGGGAGTTCAAAACTAGAGAGCATAGGTTTAAAGTGAAAGGGGAAAGATTTAAAAGGGACCAAAAGGGCAATTTTTTTCACACAGACTGTGGTGCACGTATGGGATGAACTACCAGTGGAAAAAGGTGAAGGCTGGTAAAGTTACAACATTTAAATAGCATCTGGATAGGTACATGAATAGGAAGAGTTTAGAGGGATACGGGCCAAATGCTGACAAATGGGACTAGATTAATTTAGGTTATCTGGTTGGCATGGATGAGTTGGATCGAAGGATCTGTTTCCATTGTGTATATCACTATGACTCTATGAGTAAGAGTGAAAGAGAGGGACCTATTACAGGCCAAATGAACAACCTGTGTGTGGGGGTCAATGGGCATGGATGAGGTCTTAAATAAATTGGGCGGCACGGTGACTCAGTGGTTAGCACTGCTGCCTCATGGTGCCAGGGACCCAGGTTTGATCTCAGCCTCGGGTGACTGTCTGTGTGGAGTTGGCACATTCCCCCTGAGTCTGCGTGGGTTTCCTCCAGGTGCTCCAGTTTCCTCCCACAGTCCAAAGATCTGCAGGCTAGGTGGATTGACTATGCTAAATTGCCCGTAGTATTCAGGGATGTGTAGATTAGATGGGTTATGGGGGATGGGTCTGGGTGGGATGCTCCAAGGGTCGGTGTGGACTTGTTGGGCCAAAGGGCCTGTTTCCACACTGTAAGGATTCTATGATTCTATGAATACTTCTCATCTATATTCACAGATGAGAAAGTCTTTGCAGTCGGGGATTTCATTTGGGATTGTGATGTCCTAGAACATGTTAAGATTAATAAGGAGGAGATATTAGAGCAAAAAACATTATAGCACAGGAGCAGGCCATTTGGCCCTCCAAGCCTGCGCAGACACATTTTGCCATTCCATACTAAAACTGTTTTCACTTACAGGATCCATATCCCTCTATTCCTTTCCTTTTCATGTATTCATCCAGGTGCTTCTTGAATGCTGCTTTTGTGCCTGCTTCCACCTCCTCCTCTGGTAGCGCATTCAAAGCACTCACCACCCTTTGTGTGAAAATCTTGCCTCACATATCTCTTTTAAACTTCACCCCCACACCTTGAACCTGTGTACCCTAGTAGTTGACCCCTCCACCCTGGGGAAACGCCTCAAGCTTTCCACCCTATCCATGCCATCACAATCTAATGAACTTCTTTCAGATCGCCCCTCAACCATCTGCGTTCCAGTGAAAACAAACCCTGTTTGTGCAACCTGTCTTCATAGCTAAAATCCCCCATACCAGGCAACATCCTGGTAAACCTTTACTGTACCCTCTCCAAAGCATCCACATCTGGTAGTGTGGCAACTAGAACTGCACACAATATTCCAAGTGTGGCCTAACTGAAGTTCTATAAAGCTGCAGCATAACTTGCCTATCCTTACACTAAATGCTCCTTCCAATGAAAGTAAGCATGCCATAAGCCTTTTTCACTATATTATCTATCTGTGCTACCACCTTCAGTGATCTGTGGACCAGCACACCCAGATCACTCTGCATATCAATACTCCTAAGGGTTCTGCCATTCACTACATAATTTCCACCTATGCTTGACCTTCCAAAATGCATATTAGATGTTATATTGGGCATCAAGGTGCACAAATTCCCAGGGGCCGGATGAGATCTATCCCAGGCTTAGAGTGAAAGGTCAGGATACTGACTGCCGGGACCCTGGTGGATATATTTAATACTTTGCTGGTGACAGGTGAAGGACCAGATGACTGGATTATAACTAATATGGTTTCTTTGGTCATGAAATGTAGCAGAGATAGGCCAGGTAATTACAGACTAGTTAGTTGAAGTCAGTGATACAGAAATTATTGGAAAAAAGTCTGAAGGAAAGGATTAATCAACACTTGGAAAGGATTGATCAGCCACAGTCAGCACATATTTATTAAAGGGCGATTCTCTCTCATAAATTTAATTGACTATTTTTTTAAAAGGTGACTAAATATATTGATGATGGTTGTGTAGTTGATGTGGTTTATGTGGACCTCAGTAAGGCCTTTGACAAGGTTCCACATAGAAGACTTGTCCAAAAGATAACAACCTAAGGGATCCAAAGTAATTTGGCAAACTGGATCCAAATTGGCTTGTAAATATCAGACCAAGGGTGATAGCCGAGAGTTGTTTTTGTGATTGGAAGACTGTGACAAGCGGTGTACCACAGGGATCAGTGCTGGGATCCTTGCTGCTTGTTGGGTACATCAATGACCTGGATGTGAGTGTAGATGGTACAGTTAGTAAGTCTGCAGCTGACATGAAAATTTTAGTGGTGTTGTTGATAGTAAGGAGAATGGTCTCAGGCTACAGTCTGATTTAGATCAGCTGGTAAATTGGGCAGAGCAATGGCTGATAGAATTCAAACCTGGTAAGCTTGAGGTGATGAATTTTGGGAGGTCTAATCAAGGGAATGATATACACATTGAATGGTAGGTCACTAAGGAATACTAAAGAACAAAGAGACCTTAGTGTATGAGTCCATAGGTCCCTGTCAGCACAGATAGACAGGATGGTGAAGAAGGTAAATGAGATGTTTGCCTTCATTAGACGAGGTTCAATTCCACCCTCGGGTGACTGTCTGTGTGGAGTTTGCACATTCTCCCTGTGTCTGCGTGGGTTTCCTCCGGGTGCTCCGGTTTCCTCCCACAGTCCAAAGATGTGCAAGTTAGGTGCATTGGCCATGCTAAATTGCCCATTGTGTTCAGGGATGTGCAGGCTAGGCAGGTTAGTCATGGGAAATATAGGGTAGCGGGATGGGTCTGAGTGGGATACTCTTCGGAGGGTCGGTGTGACCTGTTGGGACAAATGGCTTGTCCTAACACTGTAGGGATTCTATGCTGCTTCTATTCTATAAGATTTGACAGTCTGCACCCAAACGTTTTAAAGGAAGTGGCTGCAAAGTGGAAGTGCAGTATTGGCCAAAGTATTCCAGAACTCAGTGGCTTCTAGGAGCATTCCAGCAAATTGGAAAACTGCTAATGTGATACCTCTGTTCAAGAAGGGAAGGAGAAAGAAAGCTGGAAATAGTAGGCAATTAGTCCAAAAAGAAAAAGCAGGACATTCAGGAAAGCTTGATGCAATCAAACTGAGTCAACATGGTTTTGTGATAGGGAAATCATGTTTGACGTATTTACGAGAGGAGAGAACAAGCACAGTTCATAAAGAGGAACCGGTGGATGCAGTGTGTTTGGATTTCCAGAAGGAATTCAATAAGATATCACATAAAAGAATACTGTTCAAGGTTATGGTTATGTTACTGTTCATGGTTTTGGATGGTAATGTATTTGCATGGACGGAGGATTGGTTAACACACAAAAGATGGAGGGTCAGGATTAATGAGTCTTTTTCAGATTGGAAAGATATAACTCATGGATTACCACAAGGGTCAGTCTGAGGGCTTTAATTATTTACTAACTATATTAATGACTTGTGGGGGCGGGAGGTTGAGAGCAGCATCTAATGTATTCAAAACAGCTGACAATATAAAAATAGATCGGAAGGCCGGTTCTGATGAGGGAGTAAGGAATCTGCAAGGGGATATAGGTAAGTTGAGGTCATGGACAGATGGAGTTCAATGTAGGGAGGAGGCACTAAATACATCTGTAGTTAAAAGAACTGCTGTTTTTTTTAAAACAAAGCCCTACTTCAGAATCAGTACCACTCAATCACCCACAAGGTTTAATGGGGTCAAGGTGGCTGAGTGGGTGTTGGTTTGGTGAGGGACCTCCCCAAGAGAAGCAGCATTTGGGCACTTTACAATGTAGTGTCCCTGACTCTGAGGCACCACAATGTTGGAGGGCAATTAGGGACGGAAGGCTTTGCCATTGACAATCACATGCCAAGGACTGAGCACAGAACAGTAACAGAGAAATATCTCTCTGGGGAAGAATTTCGGGAGAGCTCCTGGGATCACCCAGTGGTTATGTTCAGTGAGTGGTCATTACCTTTGCCAAGGAGTAGATGCGGTGAATTGAGGGAACAGCCAGATCCTTCTGAAGATCAAAATCCTCAGACCATAGTTTCTTCATCGGGAGCCGTGGCACAAAGCCTTCGACGGACGGGTGGCACATTCTCAGAGCCTTCTGGAAACTTTCTTCAAACGTGCGACCGATAGCCATTACCTGGGAAACACAAACAAGCAACTCAGAGGGGTACAGCCCCAACACCTGGGCCTAGCTTCAAAAACCAGGTCTTTCTGCATACACTACAGATAGAGTCATTCCTCTCAACATCCACATGGGATCCTGGAACTGAAAACACACTTGCTGTTAGAAACCAGACAACTGCTTCAGAATTTCACCGGATGGTGAACAGGAAATCAAAATTCATTGACTGTGTATACCCGTTCAGTGTAACCTCCCCAGTGTGGAATTTTCTGAATTATATACTTCTTAACCATGAATATGTGAGCCAAGAAACGCTGCAGCTAGAAATATTTGCTGAGGGATAAAGTGGTGATAAAGCATCATTAAGTGGTGATAAAAAGAATGCTTCTCTCTCTGTTTGGCATCACATCCTAAATACCTGCATTTCACCAACTTTCAATCCAGATCTTCCATTATTGAGTTCCTAACGCACTAAAGTACCAAAGCACTAATTTTGAGAGTTGCTTGGGTCTGCTTAAAACATTGCTCTACAACTAGTGTTTCTGAACAATAAATTCCTAAATTGCAGAGTTGACAGTGAACTGACAAAGGAGACTTTTCAATTGTTCTTTTGCCAATATCCAGTACATGGGTCTCCAATCCCATTAGTCATAAATTCTGAAGAATTCCTTTCTTAGAAACATAAAATGGTCACAATGTTTTTATTTGCAGGATTTGTAAAGAACATACAGCAGTGTGTGTGGCTTGCTTGCGTGACCCAGTGTCAATGACAAAGCAAACAATAACCCCTTAATCCTGCGAAGGTGAGAGATCCTTACACACAGTTCAGAGGAAAATTGGAAGGGGTCAAGTTCACGTGGGTCAGAACCGGCTGACAGTTGGATACAGTGCACTGCCCACTCACCTCCCCAACACTCTTCATTGAGCTGCCGATCTCCCGCGAAGCTCCGTGGAAACGGTCCAGATCCCAGCGCGGAATCTTGGTAACAATATAGTCCAAACTTGGCTCAAAGCAGGCAGTGGTCTTCCCAGACACTGCATTCTTGATGTCAGGCAGAGGGATACCCAGTGCCAGTTTGGCAGCCACAAAGGCCAGAGGGTAGCTGCAGAGAAAAAGTGAGAGGAACAAGCTAACAGGAAGACAATGAATGATCAGTGTGCACAAAGGCAGAAGAATTCTTGCTCCCAGATGACAGGCTGCTCCACGTACAGAGACAGAGAGAGATGTACCCAGGCACAAACACTGTGCAGGTTCCAACCACATCTCCTGCTCCCTGCAGACACTGCACAGGTGGCACCTGCAGTTCTGATCACTTGGCAATTTTTTTTTTCTAAGGAAACATGAGTGCAGCCAAATGGCCCACACAAATGTAAGGGGCAAGCAGGCAGGGCCTGGCAGAATGATGAACTGTTGCAGTTGTTCCCTATGGCTGGCACTCCTTGAGGAGATGGTGCCTGAAGTCTTTTAGGAACACTCTAGAACTGATAGTTCATTAACGTCCTTCAGGGAAGGGAACTGCCATCTCTACCTGGTCAGGCCTGCATGTTACTTCAGACCCAAAGCAATGTGGTTGACTCTTAACTGCCCTCTGGGCAATAAATGAATAAAAAAATCTCAAGAACACAGAAAACACTCAACTCCATTCTGTTCAACTGCAACATTGCGAGACATTTTCACACCTTGCCCCATTAACTCATTTCATGTGTGTGTGTGTGCGTATTTTTGGAGTGGCCAGCACCAGGCACCAGCTGTAATCGCCGACGCTGCCAGGGCTTCAAGAAAGGAAAACCTGCCAGGGACCCACCTACCACCAGTGCCCAGTAGGAAGCCATCAGCACCAAAACGGCAAAACAGGGAGAGTACAACCAGAGCAAAGGAGGCCTGCCTGATGGAGATGCAGGGATTTTAAAGGAGGCAGTGGGGGTTTTGAGGGTCCAGCAGCACCGATTGGAAGGGGTTGGCAAGGAGATAGCTTTCCCCTTGTGGGGGAGTCTTGAAACAGGGGACGCAGTTTAAAAACTTAAGTTCCTCATTTGAGACAGAGATAAGCAGAGTTCTTTCCTCTGAGAGATTTGTTATGGTTGTCTTCAAGTACAGATCCCAAACTTGAAAGGCCTGTACCTTTACGACATCAAAACATGCGACCTTTTTGTTGTTAATTCAATGGGTGATGTGGGATGTGGAACATTGTTGGCTGGCCCAGTATTTCTTGACTATCTCTAATTAACCTTGAGAAGATAATGGTGAGCTGCCTTCTTGAACAACTGCAGTCCACGAGCAAATAGGTAAACACACAATGTCAATAGGGAGAAAGATGAAGGATTCTGACCCAGTGTCAGTGAAGAAACGACAATATATTTCCAAGTCAGAATGTTGAATGACTTGGAGGGGAACTTGCAGGTGGTGGTGTTACCATGTATCTACTGCCCTTGTCCTTCTAGATGGAAGTAGTCATTTCTAAGAAGCTTTGTGAATTTCTGTGGCACATCTTGTAGATACTCAACACTGTTACTGCTGAGCATCAGTGGTGGAGAGACTGAAAATTCATGGATGTGGCGCAAATCAAGTGGGCTACTTTGTTCTGTATGGCATCAACACTCTTGGGTGTTGGAGCAACAGCCATCTAGGCAAATGGGACTATTCCATCACATTCCTGACTTGTACTATGCAGATGGTCAACTGGTTTTGCGAGTCAGGTGGTGAGTTACTTGTTACAGGATTCCCCTGACCTGTGCTTGATGCCACAGTATTTATAGTCCAATTTCTGGTCAATGGAAATCCCCAGGATGTTGATTGTGGGAGATTCAGTGTGGTAATGCTGTTGAACATCAAGCAGCAGTGGTTAGATTCTTGTTAGAGATAGTCATAGCCTGGCATTTGTATGACACAAAATGTTACTTCACACTTTTCAGCCCAAGCCTGGATATTCTTCAGGTCTTGCTGCATTCCGACATGGAGTGCTTCAATATCTGACGAGTGGTGCTGAATACTGCACAAACATCAGTGAGCATCCTCTATTTCTGACCTTATGATGGGGGAAAGATGTCTTGGAACTGATATGACCGACCTCCAACAATCACAATCATCTTCCTATGTATCAGGCATGACTCCAACCAGCAGACAGTTGTCCCCTATTCCAGGTCTTGCTAGGGCTTCTTGATGCCACACTCAATCAAATGTAGCTTTGATGTCAAAGGCTGTTACTGTACCTGTCTCTGATTCAGTCACTCTATGTATAACGGAGTCAGTGCAGTCAGTGCACGTGTGTGATGTATAGGAATATTAGTAAGAACCAAACAGAGTCAATGCCTCTACATCTACGATATTATAGCCTTCTAAATAACTACTGTTGTAAATAAGCTTCAGTTCTCTGATTCAAGAACCACCTGATTATAACATCTGTGGATTAGCATCTAGTAAATCTAAAACCTGCAGATTAAACTGTGGGATTCTCTGCCTCAGAGAATAATGGAGGCTGAGTCATTGAACAAACTCTGAAGTTGGGCAAGCCAGATTTTTTATTAAAAACGGAATGAAGGGTTACAGGGAGTGCAGACATAGAAGGGGACCAGAGGTCATAACCCCATGATCTAGTTGAATGGCAGTGGAGGCTCGAGGGACTTGAATGACCTAGTGCTGCTCTGACTCCTTCAGTTCTTGGCAAAGGGCCAAAGAGAGGGTTGTGATAGTGTAGGAGGAACACAGGGCTGGAGTGAGAAGTGGGAGTTGGGGTTGGGTTAATATGTGTGTGTGTGTGTGTGTGTGTGTGTGTGTGTGTGTGTGTGTGTGTGTGTTTGTATTTGTGTGTGCAGAATATTTGCTTGGGAAGTTGTATGTGCAGTGGCTGTGGGAATGGAATGTAGCACAGGTGCTGCAGCTAGTGTTACTGGGCTGTCACTCAGACAGCAGATCAAGTGGCATGAAGCTGTGCGCTCTCTGAACACTCACTCTTCCATGCTTACAACTGTTTATTTCTACCTTGCTCTTTCCCCCACCCTTTCCCAAACATAGCTTGCCTTCAGCAAATCTCATTACATAATAAAACCTATTTGTGAAAATGAGATTTGTATGGGATTATTTTAGCTTCAAGCTGCAGACCACAAAGCTGGGACCGGCAATGTCTTGCTTGGCAGCTGGAAAACCCACCAATGACTGACAGCGAACACAACCTGAAGACAGCACACACCCAGGATTAAAGTACCCTCTGGCTGACCAGAAACGTCACAAACGTCACTAACAACAGAGTCTGCTTCCGTTGACTGACACCCAGAGACTATATCATAACTGCGGCAAATACAAAGCAATGGCCACCTACAAACAACAGGTGACAAAGGTGATTGATGAGGGTAGAGCAGTGGATGTTGTCTACATGGATTTTAGTAAGGCTTTCGATAAGGTCCCTCATGGTCGGCTCATCCAGAAGATTAAGATGCATGGGATCCACAGTGACTTAGCCACGTGGTTTCAGATTTGGCTTGCCCAGAGAAGGCAGAGGGTAGTGGTGGAAGGGTGGTTTTCAGCCTGGAGTTTGTAATTAGTGGTGTTCTGCAGGGATCCGAAATAGGACCTCTGTTGTTTGTGATACATATAGATGACTTGGGTGAAAGTGTAGATGGGTGGGTTAGTAAGTTTGCAAACAATACAAAGATCAGTGAAATTGTGGATAGTTAGAAGGTTGTCAAAGGATACAGTAGGATATAGGTCAGTTGCAGATATGGGCAGAAAATGGCAAATGGAGTTTAATCCAGGTTAAGTGTGAGATGCTGCACTTTGGGAGATCAATTGTTAAGGAAAAGTATACAGTTAACGGCAGGACCCTGAACAGCATTGATGTAAAGAGGGATCTTGGGGTTCAATTCATAGCTCCCTGAAAGTGGCCACACAAGTAGATAGGGTAGTAAAGAAGGCATATGGCATGCTTGCCTTTATCAGTCGGGGAATTGTGTACAAGAGTTAGGATGTCATGTTGCAGTTTTATAAGATTTTGGTTAGGCCACACTATTGTGTTCAATTCTGGTCACCACATTACAGGAAGAATGTGGAGGCTTTGGAGAGAGTGCAGAAGAGGTTTACCAGGATGCTGCCTGGATTAGAGAGCATTAGCTGTAAGGAGAGGCTAGAAAAACTTGTGTTGTTTTCTCTGGAGCATCGGAGGCTGAGGGGAAACTTAACAGGAGTCTACAAAATTATGAGATGCATAGATAGGGTTGATGGTCAGAATCTTTTGTACAGAGTTGAAATGTCTAAAAGTAGGGGGCATGTATTTAGGGTGAGAGGGGATAAGTTCAAAGGAGGTGTAAGGGGAATTTTTGTTTTTTTTTTACACAGAAAGTGATAGAAAGTATGGAACATGCTGTTGGGGTGGTGGTGGGGGCAGATACAATAGGATCGTTTAAGGGACTTTTAGATAAGCACATGAATATGCAAGGAATGGAGGAATATGGACCAAGTGCAGGCAGAAGAGATTAATTTAATTTGGTGTCATGTTCGGCACAAAATCGTGGGCTGATGGGTGTTCTATGTAACACTATGTAACACTAGAAATGAAGCACCTGCAACAAGAACACCTCACTCAGAAAGGGCATGAAGAGGCCCCAGCCCTCCCAAAGCAATGTTGTAGTCCCGCCTTTGGGGAACTGTCCCAAACTGAAGTAGCCTGATGATCTAGAACAACAGGATCACTGTTTAAAAATAAGAGCTCACTACTTAGGATGGAGACAAGGATTCCATCACAGAGGCTTGAGGGTCTTTGGAACTCACTTCTTCAAAAGTCTTTTGAATGTTTTTAAGACAAAGCAAGAGTAACTGGAGTAGATAGGAATGTGGAGTAATCAGATTGGCCATCATTTTGCTGAATGGCAGAGCAGACTCATGGGAACGTAGGAAATATTTCAAACTGTGATCAATGGTGTAAAAAATTTCATAAAAAGGTAGCAAATTAGCCAGTGATAACACACAATAAATGAATACAGAAATAATGTAAAAATTGACACAGGAGAAAAAATGACACAAAATACACAGACAGCAAAGCAGAGGACGACAAAAAAGAGATAATAAAGGAAAGATCAAGAAACAATTAGAAGGCAGAAAAATATTCCAAGAGTACACAGATGCATTGGAATGTTGGCAGGGCCAGCATTTATTGGCCGTCCCTAGTTTCCCTTGAGAAGTTAGTGGTGAGTTGCATTCTTGAACCGCTGTAGTCCATGTACTGTAGGTCCATACACATTGGCATAAGGGAATTCCAGGATTTTGACACAATGGCACTGAAAGAACAGTGATAATATTTCCAAGTCAGGATGCTGAGTGGCTTGGAGGGGAACTTGCATGTAGTGGTGTTCCCATGTGTCTGCTGGATATCTGCTTGTCCTTCTAGATGGTAGTGGTCATGGGTTTGGCAGGTGCTGTCTAAGGAGCCTTGGTGACTTATGCAGTGCATCTTGTGGATGATACACACTGCTGCTAATGAGCGTAACTGGTGGAGGGAGTGAACGTTTGCTGATGTGGTGTCAATCAAATGGGCTGCTTTGTCCTGGATTGTGTCAAGCTTTCAGATAGTTTTGGAGTTGCAGCCATTCCATCATACTCCCGCATTTTGTCTTTTAGGCTTAGGGGAGTCAGGAGATGAATTACTTGCTGCAGGATTCCTAGCATCTGAGCCATTCTTGTTGTCACTGCATTTATAACGATGAGTCCAGTTCAGTTTCCAGTCAATGGTAACCGCCAGGACGTTGATAGTGGGCGTTTCAGTGATGGTAATCTCTTGAATGTCAAGGAGCAATGATTAAAAAAAAATTGTCTATTATTGAGGTGTTCATTGCCTGGCACTTGAGTGATACAAATGTTACTCGCCACTTGTCAAACCAAAACCGGATACTGCTCAGGTCTTGTTGCATTTAGATACTGATTCAACATCTAAGGGGTTGTGAATGGTGCTAACCGTTGTGCAATCACTGACAAGCATCCCCACTTCTGAACTTATGATGGACAGAAGGTCATTGATGAAACAGTTGAAGGTGGTTAGGCCAAAAACACTACCCTGAGGAATTCTTGCAGAGATGTCCTGGAGCGGAGATGACTGACCTCCAACAACTACAACCATCTTTCTACATGCCAGCTATGAGTCTAACCAGTGGAGAGTTTTCCCCCAATTCCAATTCATTCCAGTTTCGCTATGGCTCCTTGATACAACAATCACTCAAATGGAACACTGATGTAAAGGGCTGTCACTTTCACCTCATCTCTGGAATTCAGCTCTTTTATCCATGTTTGAACTAAGGCTGTAATAAGGACCGGAACTGAGTGGCACTGGTGGAACCCAAACTAAGTGTCACTGGGCAGGTTATTGCTGAGCAGGTGCTGCTTGATAGCACTGTTGATGAGCCCTTCCATTCAACTTAACTAACGATTGAAAGTAGGTTGTTTGGGCTAACTGGCCAGGTTGGATTTGTCCTGCATTTTGTATACAGGATATACTGGGACAATTTTCCAAATTGTTAGGTAGATGCCAGTGTTGTAGCTGTACTGGAAACAGGTTGGCTATGAGTGCAGCAAGTTGTGGAGCACAAGTCTTCAGTAGTATTGTCAGAATGTTGTCAAAGCCCACAGCCTTTGCATTATCCAGTGCCTCTAACCATTTCTCGATATCAGGTGGAATGACTCAAATTAGGTCAATTATGTTGCTGGGCAGTACTGGAGAAGGCCAAGATGGATCATCCACTTGTCACTTTTGGCTTTAGATTGCTGCAAATGCTTCAATCTTATCCTCTGCACAGAGTTTTTGGCTCTCCCATCATTAAGGATATTTGTGGAGCCTCCACTTCCAGTGTGTTGTTTCATTGTTCACCACCAATCATAACTAGATGTGGAGGACCACTGAACTTAGATCTGATCTTTTGGTTCTGGAAATGCTTAGTTCTGTGTGACAATGCCATAGCTTTAACAGCTGTATTCTGTCCTGGCTATTTTTGAAGAAAGGTTTTAAGACTGAGGTAACAAGCTATCTACATGATTCCAATAAAGGAAACAGCTTGTGAAGCCTTGGGGTTTTTTCCACATCACAACAATAAAAGCAGCCTGAATGGGTGGGATCAAGCTTCCAAAGAACCAGGACTTTTAGTTTCAGTTTCTCAGTAACAGATGCTGAAGTCTTGAAACTGGATGAAGAAACTGTTTTGCCTGTCTGTTACAGACAAAAGCTGGTGTTCTCAATCTGCTGCTAGGATTGCATATGAGACAATCTATGTTTCTGAATTTGCCTTTGCCAAATGGTGTGTTTATGGGATGTTACTATACTGGAACCGTTAATTAGTAGTAGTTAATATATCCATTATTTTGTCAAGCACTACAATAGAGTTAGAGTTACGAGACTATTCTGTTTTTTTTTATTTTGACTGTATTTTAACTGGAATGTAAAAGTAAAGTGTGTTTTGCTTAACATCAAGTAGTTTGACCAATCAAATTGTATCTGGAATACAAAACCTTACACAACTTTAAAATAAGAAAAAGTTGTGATCTAGGCAATGTCCTTAATATATCTTGAGGGGGTTTGATTTGGTCCATAACAAACTGGGGGCTTGTCCAGGATCAAAATCTCTAATTCTAGATTGTTGGACTCAAAGGCAGTGAATAGTGAGTGTTGATGTCTTTTGATTCAAGTGTTGCATTTTCTTGGTGGTGGGAGAAGGCACTTGGGGAGTTTTACAAAAAGCGAGAAAGGAGACGCTTTCAGAATTGGCAAACAAGCTGGAGTTGGCGTTGCCTGTGTCTGTGAGAAAATGGGAGATAAATTGTGACAATCATGCAGCATTTACAATGGCCAGGAATGCCATCAGAAGCTTTGGAAATGGCTAAAATTCAATTGTAAATGAAGCAGCTTGAGTTAGAGGCAAAAAAAAGAGACAAGAAAATGAGACAGTAAGAACTGCAGATGCTGGAGAATCTGAGATAACAAGGTGTACAGCTGGATGAACACAGCAGACCAAGCAGCATCAGAGGAGCAGGAAAGCTGATGTTTCGGGCCTAGACCTTTC